CTTTCCCTCCCCCGGCCCCAGCGACCCCCCCCAACAGCCACCTCGTGCAAGAGGCGAGGGCACAGAACATGCTTTTGGGTTTCATTTAAACCCACTCCTGACTGAACTAGATCCACTCCTCCTCTCCTGTCCTCACTGGGGTCTGGGAGGGGACACCAGAGCGACATCCACAACCTGCCCATGTGTTGAGAGATACAGGACTAACTTTTCTTCTAATGTTGGGGAAAATTGCACTTGACCCAGGCTGGCCAAAAGGATTATTTCATACCATAAATGTCACATTCAATATAAATTAGAAAAGTTTGCTGCGTAGCTCTCTCTCCCTTGATGGTGGCGAGTCCAGACAACTCCTTGCCCCGGTGCCAGACCCCTGAGCCCTTCCCTTCCTCCCAAAGCCATCGCGCTGGCAGTGCCCGACATTTGCTGTCCCTGCTGGGAGGGCACAGCTTCCTGCTGATATAACTGGCTGAGTATAATCCTCGTATATCTTATATCAGTATCAGGATTAATACTGGCTCTTTGCTATTATCGTTAATTATTTAGTCTATTAAATCTATTTATATTTCAACCCTTGTGTTTGTGTTCCCCAATCCCCCTTTCCGGGTGGGGAGGGGTCATCGGGTGATGAAATAACTGTCTGAACGACAACAGATTGTTATGGGTTTTCTCAAACCATAACACCGTGCCAGGGAGAACACGTTCCCTCCGCAAGGAGGGCAGACAGATGGAGCCACGCTGATCCCCACGGCACAACCCACCTCCTGGGGCACCCACAGGCTATTTTTGGAGCGGTTACGGGACGCAGAGGCTCGGCGGGAGCTGGGATCTGCTTACCTTACGTGTGGCTCAGAGCTCGGCACAGCAGGACCCCTGGCTGCGCCCCAGAAACACTCCCTTGAACTGGTTCTACACCAACCACGACAGGACCACCTGGGAAGGACCCTGCGCCACAGATCACCATCAAAACAAACACATTGGGAGACCAAGAAAAGGAAACTTTCAAGTTAACCAGACATTTATTAGCATCTCTGTAGATGGAGAGGTTGTTCCAGTAAATAAGCAACGAGGTCACACACAGGTGATGGAATCATTTCATATTCAAGCAAGAGCAGGTTCCGCTGAGTTGCTTCACTTCTTCCACTCGTTCTTGTCGTAATCCCACTGGGCGGAGATGCCCTCCACGGGGTTAATCCTCATGTCCAACATCCTCTTTGTCTGCGCCGACAGCCACTCGTCCGAGAAGGTGTGCGGGATGGGGCCGTACACTGCAATGCAACAGCAGGGGGGATCACATCGTGACACAACACCAGCAAGTTGGCAACACATAAAAGTGTAGTTAAGGAAAAGCTTTTTCCCCCCGAAGCCATCAGTGCTGATCACACACACGCCATCGCCCGTTCAAACCTACGTTCCCTAAATCCCATTTTTGCAGCATTTAGCTCAGAGCAGACCCCCGTGTTGATTCTCTAGCAGTTTCCTTCATCAGCAAAGGCTTGTATCAAGACAACACCCTTCTCCTCAACTTTCACCGCCAGTAGATGAAGCCTCAAGATGGAAAGCAGCTCATTTAACCTGGTGGCAGCTGGAGGGCTCCCTGGAGGTAGGATCGTTAGCTGGGAAGGAGGCCAAACATGGCAGAAACCCAAAAGTTTACTACCAAGGTGGCAATAAGCTTTTGCGACAGCAGGTCGCCAAGGGGAGAAGAGAAGGGGGGAGAGCGGAAGCTCTGGGATCGTTAGTGTATCACCACTCCTTCCCTCCCACCAAAACTCTCTCCACCATCTTTACTCTTCCACAAATCAGCTTCCTGAACGTTTATGCTACGTACCCGCTGATCTCCATGAAGTCAGAACTCCAGAAATGAGTTTTCCCAGACTAACAAACAGCAACCACCATGAGGTCACCTCAAGAGCTGCTGGATACACCATTCCGAGCCTCCCAGCAGTTTAGGGAGAGTCGTCTCCTTTCCCACCGGGTATCAACCCATCTCGCTCTTAATTTAAGAGTTAACACCTTGGGGCATTTACTTACTATAATGTTTCTGCCAGATGAGGATGAGCCCGGTTAAACCAAGGAAGAAGAGCACTCCACCCAGGACAGTCTTCCACTCGTTGGTTCCTTTGTTCATTTCTGCGTAGCTCTCGTTAAACTTGATACGATACACTGCAAAAAAAAAAACCAAAAAACAAAAAAGTTAAAGCACCAAATTATTTCTTTCACTTTTCCTGCAAATTGCAGGCAACACACTGCTCTCCAGAGGGAGGGGACCAAAGCCTCAAGCTGACCAAATGGAAAAGGATGTTAAAGAAGCTCCTGGATTAGCTGGGATCCACCAGGCCAAGACTTGAGCCAAAGTCAGTGAGGTGTATTTCACCCCCTCGATGTGTTTCACACTCCCCTCCCACCAAGGTCTGTATCAATCTACATTTTATAGATTATTGTAAACTTGTGCAAAAATCCCATTACAGGCCTGAGGGCCTTCCTTCCCTCCAATTCCCAGTACAGCTATTGACCACAAAGCTTCCTAGCATAAATAATCTCAACAGGAACACTTGCATCTCAAAAGGCTTCTCTCAGTTTTGCTACTAAGGCCCAAAAGATTTTGAAGTTCAAAACAGCAACAGATTTGCCAAGTGCTTAGGAACGTTTGAGAAGTTCCCAAATGAGCTTTACACCTTCTCACTGTGACACAGGTGGAGACAGCACCCTTCATAGATCATATTCTAGCTTGTGTACCATGATGGCAGTTAGAAATGATGATGCAGTTTTATTTGCAAGTCAAAACACCTGCTCAGCACTTTAATTGCCTGAAATTTGGTAATTCTGAGGTCAGTGGTCATTGACATTCATTTTACTCAGCTGGACTAACAACTGCATATTGTTGTAAGGAAAAGATTTTTCTTCTGGCTTGTTGGAAGCAGATGGGAATCAAGAAACAAATATAATTATTATTTGTTTTCTGGAAAAAGAAGAAATTACTGAACTTGACCTCGGGCACCCAACAGACACCCCAGCAGGTGCTTCCAGCTTTTTGAAACAGCACCAAGGATTCCAGGAATGCAAACCACTGATCTCTGCTTCTGTACACACAAGGAGCTCCATCATAATTAACAAAGCTCCTTCAAGGCTCACGGGTCTGCTCACAGAGCCACTGGGAAGAGCAGGGTTGGATATCTGCCCTAACAGGCACAGGCTGTGGTGGTCTTTCTAATAAAAATTGGCAATAATGAAAAAGTAGCAGATTATATTGCATCATTGCTACCTGTAAAGTTGCTTAAAGCCCCCACTACCTACATTCAACTTTCTCATCGACGGAGAGAGCAGTCCAAGACGCCTTTTCCTTCTCTTTCAGCGCCTTCTGCTGAGCAGAGAGATCCCTTACAAAGGCCACTTCAGGCAGGGGAACATCACGACGGTCGACATAGGCTGGGAGGCTGAAATCCTCTGCTTTGACAACACCAGCTGCACATGGGAACAGACGAGACACCCATTCAAGCTTCTGACTCCTGTGCAAACATCCCTTACCCCTTACAATACAAAAGAACAACAGCTCAATTGAAAAGGTGATGACAGTTCAGGAATCCAGGAGGGAGAAGACTTCCAGATGATGCATTTAAAACGGGTACTATTTTAAGAATAAAGCAGAAGGGGGATCTACATAAAAGGTAATATCCAAAATGACTTTATTAATGCCTCAGCCACCTCTGTCTCCAGCTGTCACACTGATTGCCTCCCCTACCAAATATCCAGAAGCCTTCTATACCTTTTTCCATCCTCATTTCTGCCTCCCCAGCAGCAGTCAGCTCTGCCCGCACCTCCATAATGCCATCTGCTGGCACAGCCTGCTCAGGTCTCCTGCCACCAGGCAAGGCACCAGCCTTGCCAACCCCCCTTCTATCCCTTCCTATCCAAACCCCAGCTGTAGCTTTCTGTGTTCTTCCTCTAAAGTGCTTGTTTTGTCGTTCTTACTGAAAAAACAAAGCAGTTGGCACCTACCATGGCCGTGCGCTCTCACGCAGATGGAGGTGGAAATGGCTCTCTTCCCAATGAGGCTGAACGCTCTTGAAGCCAACATCCTGTCAGGACAAAACAACAGCAGGTAAGCCAGTGTCAGGTGTGAAATAACACCATTTTCCACTCACTTATAAACAGCTAGACTACAGATTTTCTGCCCCTTCTTGCAGCACATCACACCAAACTGCTCCTCAGGGACATTCCCCCACTAGAGTGACTTGGATGAGTCTTCCTCTCCCCTTTGTGTTTTTTTTTTCCCCATAGCCTCCTGTATTTAAACTCAAAAAGCCTCGAGTTCAAACAAGTTCCCTCGTTCAAGTCAGCCTTCCAGGATGCTTTCACTCGGTAGCAATTTGTTACTGGGCACAAGCCAGGAGCCCCGAGCGAGCCAAGTCTGAGCACATCTCACATCCACTGAAAAAAAAACGCTCCAGCAGTGAACAATGCCGACATGGCCGAGGAAAGGCAGGCACCAGCTAACGGTTTCTCCCACAGACCTGGATGCCCACACAAGGGCTCACAGGTCTCCTCAGAGGCCCCTGATCTCAGCTAGAACCCCACCACCCCCCACCTCCACCTCCCC